TTGAAGAACTCTCACAAGAATTACGTAAAATAGAATTTGACATTAGTCGCAGTGGGACATATCTTTGATTCCCAGAAAATCTAATTCTGCAGAGGGACGAAGACATGTATCGACAGTCCCTGTTAAGCTCATTCGGGCTCAAACTGATCACCACAAGAGCCACTTAGATAGCAAGTTCGCTGAAACATCAATCCACTATTTAGACATATAGCATCCATACTTGGACCAGATCAAGATGATAAAGCAAGCACCTCTTCTAATGCACATGAAATATAGAATCAAATTACCTGATCACGACTGGGTAATCGCTGAGCGTCATAAATTAATACCACCTGTTGATGCTGGTATCAAAATCACTTCCAACATACATCGCTATTCGAAGTGGAAAGCATAGTTCATACTCATGCTCAGGATTTCGAGACGCTTCTCGAACTTGAAGAGTTTCGACCATTAGCTAAAACTGACCATGGACTAGTAAAACCAGTGGTAATCATCACGGTTGATGAATGGCCAAATGAAAATCCACGTTATCAAAAAATCATAGGGTTCGCTATACAACACTTTAAGCAACATGATCTCGATGCATTGTTTTTAGCTACCAATGCTCCTGGAAGAAGTGCGTATAACAGAGTAGAGCGCAGAATGGCTCCTCTTAGTCGGGAACTGGCTGGTTTAATATTGCCACATGACCATTTTGGGTCTTATTTGGATGAACGTGGCGTTACAATTGATGAACATTTAGAAAGACCTAATTTCGAATTTGCAGGAAATGTATTAGCTGAAGTATGGAGTTCAATGGAAATTGATGGCTATAATGTTAATGCAAAATTAAATGGTATTCAGAACATGTGCGTGAAAGCCAATACTTGCTTCAAGTTGTAAAATGTAGAAATACAGAATGCTGTCGTCCAAGAAGTGGCCTATTTAGATTACTAGACAATAGGTTCCTTCCACCGCCTGTAAAAGTAAAACAAACAGTTGATGACTTGGTTTTGGATGAAAGAGGGCAATTTCTTAGTCTTCCAGTCAATTTAGCTCTACGCTTAAGTGCTTCACTCAAAGATTTCCTGCAAATGCCCTACGATTATTTTTGTCCGACGCTATCAAGTCGAACATGCAAAACGTGTGGTCTTTATCATGCTTCCGTCAAGTCACTAAATCGTCACATCGAAAATATCCATAAAAAAGTAAACACGCACACTGATAGGAAAGTTAGACCTGTAAGAGTCGCTGCTCGTCGTGCTAATGAACTGATGTACATTATTCAAAATTTAGAGCACCATGATGTTGATGATCATGGATTCGGGTTTCATGGACTGAAGAGTGTTAATTTGAATTTAATATATGTACCGAAAATTATGTTAGTAAGACATAATATTTTTGTCCTTTAACTCTATGTTGAATACCGTATCAGTAAAATATAATCTCTATCCTAAATCTATTTTCTTATTTTTCAAATTATAATTATAACGTTATAATTATAATATTAAAAAAACAATACACTAATTGACAGATGTTTACGTAAGCATGGGGGGAGGGGTAAGAGCTTTGCTTACTTTTGCTGGCAGGGGGTTGGGGGGGGTAAATAATTGTAATAAATCTGCTTACGTAATACTTGAACGGCCCCCTATCCTGTATACAACAACTGATTGAAAAATCTCATTTTCTCGAATTTGCACATCAAAAAACATTTACTTGTTAGAAGTTCGAGCTATCAGTCTTTTACCCAAAATGTTACCAGCGATGCAGACATAAGATGGTTTTTGAATGGCATTTACAGGCTGAGGCCATCTCAATGGAAATACAGATACTGCTAGCTCTAACCTCAGGTCAGAGTGTGCAAACTAATTGAAACAGACAACACCCGGATTGGGTTGAATAATACTGACATTGAGATTTCTGAGTTTTTAAAAGTATCGGAGTCACTCACGTGGCAACCACTTAAGTGTTACCGTATTTTACGCCCAAATATCTGTGCAAAGCATTTATTTGTCACTGTACAGTATCTTTATCATGGTGCCTCGGCTCCTAGATGGATGAAGTCGGTTTTAGCAGAGAGTGTCACAATTGACATCCCACAGTACATGAAAAGCGTCTACCTCTCCGCCGGCTAAATTATAGTAGTCTCAGGCTCGCGGCGGGCTGGAGTGCGTTTTCTGAGATACGTCACAAACCTCTTAGCCTTTGCTCAAGCGGCATTTGAGGTGAAGCAAGTCTCCACACTTTAAACATAACTATGTTATTTATGTTATTTGCTCATTACCACGAAATGGATGGTAATGTTTGAACCAGATACGTCATATTTCCTGTTGCTAAAAGCCTTAACTTGAATTGTTACAATGGAAATGTACATTTAGTTGACACAAACATTGCGTACAATTTGTGTAGTTGTGTACAACCTATGATTTACTATTACAGAGCGTTAGCATTATGTTGTTGCAACTAGCTTTGAACATCTACGATATATATTCTAAATATTTACTTCGACGAGGACGGAACATAATTACATGATCAAACGAGCTTACCTGTAAGTGATGTTCGATCTTAATTATGTGAAGTCTTCGTCGAAGTAAATAGCTCCCTCACTCCCTATATATCACCCAATTGTTGCAACAACTTGGCTTTGAAGTAAATGAAGGTTTATAGGTGGCCAGAGGGGAGAAAGGTAGGGGGAAGGAGCGCGGTGCCGCTTTCCTTTTCTACGTACGCGCTTTGAAATCGTGGCGCTTGGGTACTACTACGAGGTTACTACGATATGGATTCTAAATATTTACTTCGACGAGGACTCCACATAATTAAGATCGAACACCACTTACAGGTAAGTTCGTTTGATCATGTAATTATTCTTAATTAGTAATATTGTATCATTTTCAAGGTCAACTACGATAATGTTAATCTTTTAATAGATAAGATCTGCCAATGGCTGTGCAGGCATACTAAGCATTTTTGAAATCAAAATCAAAACCTCCTATCATCTATGCAAAAATCCACTGACTAGAAAAAATTAAGTTTCTGGTTGAGGACATAGGATGAACATTCCAATTATACCACCTTGTAGTGGCAATGTCAATGTGGAATTTGTTTGTGAGTCTCGCCTTAAATTAATTCGAGAAAAAATAAAAACGATTGTGAGAAAATTCAATTTCCTGTGTTTGTCTAACGAGATACTCTGAGTTCCGAAGCTCAAGGGGTTTTATTGCTAATTAAATATGTAATCATATTGCGATATTTCATTCCTTAAGACTTACAAATATTTGACTATATGTGCCATTACTTTTCATGTAATTTACATAAATAGGTGCGACAGCAACTTGCCTCGTAGTAGCTCAGAAGCTCATCAATCTTGCTCTTCGGGAGAAAATCCGTGCCGAAAATTTGGCGGTAATCAATGAAGCTGTATTTTAATCACAGCAATGAACGCGGTTTTCAAGACCCCGGATTTAAAATTCTATTAATAAAGGGCGGAAAAGCTATTCATTTAACCTTAATTGATGGGAAGGGGAGATTTTCCAATATTATATTAATTTTTAAATTCCGTTTTTATCGAAGCATGAATATTCATGGGAGGTATCGAAAAGAATTAGCTTCTTCGGTCCTTGCATTTTGCTGAGAAATATCTAGCTATTCCAGCGAATGGCAATGCGGCGTTAAAAGAATCCGTTTAGTCCTTATGAGGATCAATTTTCAGCTAATTTAAAATTCAAATGTAATACGCTATAACCTTCAACACTTAAATTGATAGTCTTCTCGGCCCCAACGCCTTATCATTGGTAGTTTTGCGACGTAGTAATACTTTATACAAATATATGTACGTGCCGTTATCTACAACAATTAGTTATTTGACCGACTACGGTAGAGATATGTATGTATTAAGTGTTGATTATTTGTACTGTTGAAGTGAATGGTTGACACTGACCAGTCTCTCGGTAAATACTCAGGGTCCGGACCCCAGAAAATACGAGTCTTGTGACATTGGCCTAAATTCCTCATGGGTACGTTCAAAGTATGCAGGATCTAATACTTTCAGGAATGCACGAGTTGGTATCTGTAGATGGTGTGATTTAGAATATTACATGACAAAGATAGTGTTGATTTCAATGTATTGGCAAGCCATATAATGGAGGTTAAATATGTGTGACTGACTACTCGTCGATTCGTACAAAATAAAAACTTTGCATTTTCAGTAAAACTAGGTTCCAGTTTACATTAGAGGCCTTGTTAGTGTCAGATTGCATGTCAGATATACTGCTGAACTCGACAACGTATAAACATAAACATTATCGAACCTTGTGTCCATGCAGACTTTTAATCCAAAATGCACAACATACTATAAATGCAGCCAAATCAACTGTACCTTATCACCTCTATGTTTAGTGTCATATTCTTTAGCGAAATGGCGAGGGACGCCAAAGCAACATCGTAGTCAACTTATTTAAATATTATGGCAACTTCCTGATGTGGTCCGATGGCGTGAAAAAATCATTGTCAATAGATACATCAGGGACCTCCCCTATATCTCAAAAAATTAGTTTGACTTCGATTCCTGGCGACTTTGCATTTTTTCTCAGAGTGGGGGGGCCCTATAACAGAACCTTCTTCAGTAACATAGTTTTGCATTAATTTCTTGTACACCAACAATTTTTCTACATGGAATCCTTCAAATCCTCTTTTTGGTCCGCTAAAGATACACTACGAGCCCCTTCCCACTTCAGTTGGCCCACTTCAAGATTTGTACCAAAATATGCCTTTATAAACTAAACATGACGAAACTATTTACTTCTAAAACAATTTATTTTTTCAAAAACATTTTGGATACACACTGGTCGTAAGAAATACATATTTGAAATCACTTAGACCTATAGCTAATAGAACATCTGAACAAATAAACAATGTGCGAATAAATGCGCGAAGTTAACAAAGCAACAATTGAAAGATTACCATTGGGTAACATCACCCTTATTTTTTATTACGGCTGAAATTCTTTGGGGCATAGTGTTAACCAAGTTTTGGAAAAAAATTGGTGTAAAACAATCCCATATTTCTTGAAGCTTTTGTCTCAGTTCGGTGATTGTATGAGCAGGATGTTGTCGTAGAACCTTTTTCATCTCGTGCCACAAAGTTTCAATAGGTGACAGATCTGTACTGCTAGAAACCCATTTCAAAAGTGCTACATTATTTTCTTCTATTCACTTTATAGCCTTGTTTGAGGTATGGCACGCTGCACAATCTTGCTGAAACACAAAATCTTGGCCGGATGTCAAACATTCTTTCATCACTGGTAAAAGCGATTCTTCTAAAATTGCCAAATATTTGTTTGTATCCACATTTCCATCAATAAAATGAAGTTTTCCTACTCCTTTTGATGACATACTGCCCCAGACCATAATGGATGCTGGAAATTTCACTTTTCTCTTCAGACAGTCAACATGGAATGCTTAATTTTTTTGCAAATAACTCTACTGCGACTGTCACCAACACAAACTTCGAATCGAGCCTCATCACTCCATTGTATTGCACACCATTGTTGAGGTGTCCATTGTCTATGTTCTTTAGCCCATCTAAGCCGATTTTTCTTTTGTAGTGGAGTTAATAGTGGCTTGTCTTTGGCCTATAAACAAGTTGTGCAACTTTTGGGTTTTTACTTCACTTTTATAAGAAAACTTACCTTGCAAGTGCTAAATCCCAGTTTGTGGACCTCTCTATGAGTTGTGGAACTCGAAATTCTCCTTCCAACAGCGTCACTCCACAGAGCACTTAATTGGAAATAATTTGCACGCCTGTTTTCCACGATTATTCTTCTTAGTGGTCTTCGGTCGGCATCTGTGATATTATTTTTTTTCACATATCGTGGCTTAATATTAACTGAACCAGTTACGATATACCTTCTAACAATATTTCTCATACTGTACACTGCATTGAAATGAAAATAGGTTGATATGCTGTAATTGCAACATGTGTTATTTTTATGCTGCAAATTTGATTAGGGAGTGATAAAGTTGGTGTTTTCTACTATATATTATCAAAATATTCACCGTTAATATTTTAAACCTATAACACCCAGCTATATTTTCTTTATATGTGTTTGATAAGAAAAAACTAAGATTTCAATAGTTGGGCCAACTGAAGTGGGAAGAGACTCGTACTTTATATGCATAGAAGGAATGTCAATCAACCAGCAAGGAATGGTCATAGTACCGTTCACCAGAAACAAAAAATGGGATAAGATGAAGGCTCAATCAATCCGAGGTTAACACATATGGTTTGCAACAGCGGCACAATATCTAGAGGCAAGCTAAGATAAAACGCTTAAACTGGAATTTGCACCTGGAAGCAGTCCTTAAGAACGTAACTATCGAACTGCCGAAACACCTGTGGAAATAATTTGGCAACGAAGCCTAAAACAAATGTTTTGGCTTTATATCATGTTGGTAAGGCTTATGATTTATGTATCACTAGCAAGGCAGAGCATCATACTACCCAGGTTAAGCTAAGCGCACTACAGAAATAAGCTTGCTTGTTAATTATTGGAGGTTTTAGCACCACACCAACTGCAGCTATAGATGTTCTTCCTAACATACGACCTTGCCTTTACTTGAAAGGCGAAGCAAGAAGAAAAACTTATGAGCCACATCAGGTGGCGAATGATGTAACACATTATCACTATGGAAGGGACGGACATGTGGGAGGACATCCAAAAGCACTGTAAACTAACATCTTATCGACAGATATCAGTGCATACACAGATGGCTCTATGACCGAGGTAGGTGTTGGGGCTGGTACATTGGTGCCTAAGCTGAAGATCAGTAAGCCTACGAGCCTCAGCATCGATTTTCCAGGCAATAATATACGCTGTAGAGCTGTGTGCCAGAGTGATGGCAAGAATGACTATTGAAGCACAGGACTATAAACATTTTCTTAGAAAATAATAATAATAAATGTCTTTATTAGCAACACAACAACCGGGCGATGTTTAGCCAGTTGGCTACTCTTACACCCAGCAACCTAAAAATAAATACAGCGATCTGGCTTTCAACTAAGTGAGTTAATAATAAAGTTAAAGGTACAGTCAACTGATAAATCCGCGCTATATTGATTTATCAAAAAGGAACCAGTCAAGAACTAGTACTGAACGGATGACAACACAAAAAAACACATGAAGATAATAACTATGATACATCTAACAGCTGATTTTTAACCAGCTTCCTGAATGTTACTACACTTGTGCTTCTTCAGGCAGGGTCGGTTGAGTTGTACTTCACAGCATTGAAGGTGAAGCATTTTTGAAACAATGCGATGATCAGATTATTATTATGCCTCAGATCTCTAAGATTAATTATTCCTCTAGTTGCCAATTTACTATGGAGGTAGATGGGCTTTTTAGTACACAATATCTTATCCTCAAATACGACTACCTTAAGACTGTATTTAAAGTGTTGATCCATTTTTCGCCATTTCGACTCCTTGATCTTAGAGGAGACATGACTGTATTTTCGAAGACCATAAACAAACCTACAGCAGTTGTTTTGCATTCTTCGGATCCTACACCTATTCAAGGAGTCAAGACAACGATAGTATAAGGTTAAAGCGTAGTTGAGGCTGGACATTATCAAACTTTCAACTAGCTTCTTACGCGTTTTAAAGTTCAAAATGCATCTATTGGCATATAGCAGTCTTAATTTGACGTAGGTGGATTCGATAGAATACACATAATATGTTTTTCAAATCTTAAACTAGAGTTAAAGGTGACAATAAGATTTTTTGCTTGTTCCACAATAGGAATAAGCTCGTTGTTTATGCTCAATGCAATTCTGTCCCTTACTCTATTATGCAAATATTTAGAATAAAAAAGTATGCAAGTACTCTTATCCGGATTGATCTTCAACATGTGTCTTTTACAAAAATCAGTGATGTTGGCAAGATCTTAATTTATCTTATATTCAGATTCAGATGAGACAACTCAAAATGAAAAGAAAGCTGCGTATCATCCGCGTAAGTTTGTATAGCACAATACTCACTACATGAATGTAAATCAAAAGTATATATCAAATACAGTAGAGGATCTAAGACAGAGCCCTGAGGGACACCTGAAGAAACGGCAACAGAAGATGAGACACCTCTGTCTTCACCTTTTGTTTACGATTAGTTAAGTAATTTTCAAAAAATTATGCGGAATGTCAGAAAGTCCAATATACTTTCACTTACTCAACAAAATTTTATGGTAACAGTGTCGAACGCCTTAGAGAAGTCGACCATAACTAAAACTGTATTAATATGTTTATCCATATTATTTAAGATATTGTCTGTCAAATGGAGAAGTGAAGAAGTTGTACTGTGTCCAGCGCGAAATACAGACTGATGGACAGGATCATCTCTAAATATTCAATTAGTTGGAGATAAACAACTTTTTCTAATATCTTTGAAAAGAAACACAGTATGCTAATGGGTCGTAAATTGTCAAGAGTTATGGGATTTTTTACTTTGGCTAGAGGAAGAATTATTGCTTCTTTCCAGACATTAGGAAAGCTCCCGGTTTCCAAACATAATATATTAACAGTATGAGTTAGATACTGAAGTATTTCAGGTAAATAAAGACCAAACATGTCCACACCAATACCATCATAGCCTATTGCAGTCGAATTTATAGAGACAGACATATCTAGGATCTGCTGAACACTTACAGGTCTGAACACAAATAGTATTAAATTAGCATGGAATAAATTCTGTTGATAAAATTCAGCTGTAGCATCAATTAAACGGGAATGGGTATGGGTATTTTGAAAATTTAATAAAAAGTGGTCAATAACTTCGTTTGGTTCTAATAAACTAAAATTAAATTTAAATTTATTTTTTGTCAAGTCGCGCTTTAAGCACTGGACTCCACCTACTCTACATTGAAATTAGAGCGGAATAATTGTAAAGAAGCCTTGGGTGGCATATAGGATTGAAATAAGGTCCGTCTCATGTGGGTTTTAACGAGACAGCCCACACTCTGGCAAAGATTGGGGCTAGCAAACAAATAATTCCTCTAGAGTTGGAAGAATATACCCGCTAACACTGGGAGAGATTAAAGGAGTTAACCCATGCTAAGGCAACCATACCAATCTGGATAAAGAAAGTAACAGACTTATTGCTACGACTGAACAGGAATAGCCTTAAAGCTCTAGTGGGACTGTGCAATGGTTATTGCAATTGCGTCACCACAACAGCAACCCTGGGAAGTCGCAGAATGTGCATGGAGGGAGGCGAAGCAGTTGAGAACGTTTTATGTAGATGCCCTGTAATTTCCAGAGTAGGGTACAATACAATACGAGGCAGTAGAAGACCTGAAGGATATTTTTCCAACCAAGTTGATCGACTCCCTCAGGAGGTCGGAATTACTGAGAGAAATATAAATAGAGGTGAGCCGCAACTGAACCTAATCTATGCGCTTATTAGCCGCTCCTACAATTCTAAACCAGCCGCATTCCTCCGCCGTCTATGCACAAGTAATCCAGCGGATGCGCTTAAATACGGGTATACATTTCGCCAGAGAAGTCTCCTCGTAGCCACACAGCAGACTCTAATACATATCATCCCTTTAGTAATAGATTCAATTTAAAGTTGGTAAACTTTTGATGAATTAAATAAGTTTGTAGCCAGGAGCGTCGATCGCTTTATAAATAAATCAGCGTGGCGGCAAATTTGCGTAATGGATCTATGATACAAATTAGCCGTGTAGGAGGCGAGGCTATAGCATGGCTCTATAGTAAATTAGATTTGCTCTAGTGCGGGGCACTCAGGTCACAGAAGGCACCAGATGCACCAAAGCCTTGATCAAAGTCACCGACAAAAGCCCACACTGTTTACTACAGATATTTAAAATATCACTGAACCTGTCAGCTATCCGTTTTTAGGAAAAGTAAGCTGTAATGATGCAGTATATGTTCGTCAAGCAAGTGATTGAAGAATAACCAGAGTCTAACATTTCGGCCTCCTGATGCTTTCCAAATCTACAAAAGACACTTGCCACTCCTTTTTTTGGTTAATTAATGAAACACAATGATAAATACTATCTAACGCTTGGGGCCTAATATCCCAGAGTCCGGAACATGATGAAACGACCCCT